CCCCCCCCCCCCCCCCCCCCCCCCCCACCCTACCAGGTTGTGCACGGCGTACCCAGCATGTACGCGCACCGCCAAGGCTTGTCTGTGATCGAAGTCTCGGAAGGCCTCCGAGTGAGTGCCCGAGAACTTGAAGCCATGAATGCAACAACGAAACCGTGCCGTGTTCCGTCGGAAGCGTTGCCGGTCTCGGAACTCGGTTCGGTACCTGTACATGCCAATCGCGGTAACCGCCCAACTTTATGCAATTGCCGGAATCTGCCTTGCCCTGCCTTGCCTTGCCGTTACCGTTGCCGTTGGTTCCGACACGCGTCGTCATCGATCAATTCTGTTTATCTAGAGGTATTCATGACAATGAAAATTGAAACTAGATGTCCTTTTACCATGGGTTGTTGAAGTTTTGTTCGCTCCCTCGTATAGGACTTCTGAACCCCCGTCGAGGTTGCATGATCGCTTCGTAATGCTTCGCTCGTTCGGAACAACGGCTCGACGACAACCACTCGGATCACTTGCCGCATGCTTTCCGAAGCGACGGAGTATCCTTTGCAAGAATTTTCAACGAACCGTCACGCGAATGGTGATAGGATGCATTGCTGGCAGTGAGAAAATTGGTTTCGCACCTTTTTTCTGCTTAGAGGTTCCGAATGGAAGGACAGCATTCAACAATACGGATGTTCAGCTGGAGTCGCCGTCGTCGGGGGTCAGAAGTGGGCAGGGTACCATATTAGCGATATACAAGATGAAACCAACGTGTTTTCTTACATAGAAGTACCTTCAACGTCACTGTCAAACATCAAGCTACCAACCTAGAGTGTGGTGCAATCACTGGATTAGTTGTCGCTTTGTTTACTTCACGAAGCCCCCCAAAAAGGGGTAAAACGTCCTCGGTGTTTGTTCCTATTGGCCAAATCAATGGTCACCGAGCCTACACTTTCTTTGGTGCGACAGCCGTGTTTCCATTCTCTTTTCCGTGCACTCAGTTGGTAGCTTTCCTCCCTTTCCTTCAAAATCACATGTTTTTTTTTCTCCCTTTTGACTGTTACATTTTTCGCACACACACACTCATGGCGGAAACCTCCCCGAGCCGACAGAGGGGCAGGCAGGCAACAGTACATAAGTACCTACCTCTCTCTACTATCGTATGGTTCGGGTCAAAAACCCGGTCTCGGATACCGCCCCCACTGCAACTGAACTCTTCCCACTTTGTCACATGTCATGTAACACCAAAACGCCACCCAGAAGAACAAGAAGAAGAAATACGAGACAGACATGACATGGGTTACCGAAGCGACTTAACGGACGGAAGGGAGTACGGGATGCTTCTTCCCGAATTTCTTTTGGGCTCTCCTCCTTCTTCTTCGTCGTGTAACCACACCAAGATTTTTTTTTGCACCGTTTAGTTGTGCCAGTACCATACCGGTACCCGACATACAGAACTTGGGTGTTGTGGTAGGCAAGGTGGCACATCCGTGCAACATGTTACCAGATCTGAACCTGTTCAATGACTTGACTGTCTCAAAGTGGTTGAGCCTCTGTTTTGCTATTGTCCAGTTGTGGTAAGTTTGTCCGATTGTTTGGAGTTAGTTGTCTGAGGGAAATGATAGAGCAACTGGCATATGTCGTAACGATCGGTTGGATTGTTGAATAAATTTACGAAAGCACAGGCGACTAATAAAGAACAAAGGACGGGGGCAAAAAGTTCACCAACGTGGAGAGCACTTAGGACAGGATATCTCAGCATCAATAACACAGCTTCAGCTGCTTGTTTGATTCTTCAGAACTTGCGCCTTTCAACGCAACTCCCAGCGAGGAGAGGCTTGACCAACCTCTTCCAGCCTCGCCCTTCACTATTCTTCTCTCATCCCCAGTATATCAACAAACATAGTAAAACCATCCATGCCCACCGTCCATGTCTCATTCATGATGTATAAAGCGTACACCAAGAAAGGCAACCATGAAATCCGAATATGAAGATGAAATATGACAAAAATAAAAGAAAGTTGTATCCAAAATCGTAAACACCAACAAGAAAATGGTGTCACTTTGCCTGTCTCCGAGTAGTCGTTCCATCCAAACTATATATATCCCGTCAAGACAGCCGCCCGTCTTGTCCAAACCACCGACCTTCCTACCCAAAGAAACTATTCCTCGTACCCTTTTACCATGCATTGTAAAACCCAAGTTGATTGAAGCCCTTTGTGTTTCTGTCAGCCTCTAAAGAGGCTTATATGCGTTTGTGTATACCTGCTTTCCTCCTTTTCTCCAAAATGTGTAGTATTTTTGTTGAGTTTGGTTTTTTCTCCCAATCCTGACCCGCCGCTACCGTAAAACTAACCAGAAATTGAACAGAACAAAGAAAAGAGAGGGTGTGCCCGCCCGCAACTTTTGCAAACGCAATGCAATGCTTGTATGCCATGCCATGCTATGCGCTACGATGCACCACCTCTCCCATCATATATACCCACTCATACAATCACCCCATCTATCTCCTCACTTACATTGCCCTCTAAATAATGTTGGCAATGCTTATCCTCTCCTGACTCTGACTCTTAATCGCCGGCGGCTTCAGGTTCGCATTCTCCTTCCCACCGATCGTATTCAAGATTCCGTTCGGCATCATGGCCGTCGTCGGCGTCGTCGTCGCACTTATTGGGCTGCGGCTGACACTCAGCGTTGGACTGCCCGCTCCGTGTCCACCGCCTACGCTGCTCTGAAGCACCGCTGCCCTGTTGGAGGGGCTTATGGCACTTGCCGGTCCTTTTTCACCACCACCACCAATTCCCAAGCCGATAGGCCGTTTATCATCTCTGTCTCCTCCAAGGGGTGGTAGGGATGGCAGTCCGGGTTCGCTCTTGATACGGGGAGTGCCGGCTGGTGAGATACTAGGGAGCGTTGGGGGTTGTGCTGGTGGTGGAGGACCCTGGGGGTGGTGCGCATGCGGGGGGATATATGGAGATCGAGTCTGTTGCGGGGGAGGGAGGGTCGGGCCGCTCGTGGGATGGCCCCAACTTGCTGGCGGGGGCGGTTGTTGCGGGCTGGGTCCGGGTTGAATTGGTGGCATTTGGCGTCCTCGAGGTGGCGGCGGCGGCGGCGGTGGTGGTGGCGGTGGTGCGTGATGGCTATAGTGCACGGGAGGAGGAGGAGGAGGATGGGGCCCGGAGACCGTTACTGGTGGCGGCGGGCCTTGTGAGTACGGGGGAGGAGGAGCAGTGGCGGATGTGGGTGTTGAAGCCAACGAGTGTGTAGGTCTGGTGGCTGAAGTTGGCGTTTGGCCCGAAGTCGATGGCACCATTGGTACCTGTGCTAACGGTACCGCAAGCGGGTGAGCTAATCCGCGCACCATTTCGTCCAGTCTCGTCCAGCCCTTGTTGACGTTCCATTCGTTGATTTCCTCCTTCGACAAGCCCATCTTGGCTTCCTCGCTGAAAAGAGTTCCCAATCCGTTTGCTCCTCCATGGCTTGAGCCGCTGGTGCTCCCCACTACACGTCCAGCCGCCGCCGCTGCTGCTGCAGCTGCTGCATGGTCCTGCTCTCCGCCTGCCCAGATCCACGCTGTATCGGGCCGCGCCTGCAAATCCGCGCTCACATATGCAATCAGCTCCTCATCCCTTACCAGAGCGTTTCTCAACCTCACTGGCGCCGGTTCTGGACTCCCCGTCATCATGATCCTCTGGAGATAGTCGCTCCTCTTTTGTCCTACAACGCCGACGAAGAACAAGAGGTAACGTCCACAGGGAACGGCAACCTCCCTGTTGGTATTGATCGCTGCCAGCTCCCGTATGCACACGAGAGCTTGGTCCAGGTGGCCGATGAGCAGGAGGAACAAGGCGCACCGGAAGATGTGCATGGTCGTGAGCGCTGTGGCTCCCTCGGGGAGGGTAGGTGTCATGCGCTTCAGGTAAGCAGCCGTCTCCAACGCAATGTTTGTACACTGCTCCACAGCCAGGAGACGGGAATCGGGTGGGCATTGCGGAGAAAGGTTCTGGCGATGAAGCAGGAGTCGCGCATGTAGGAGGTAGATCAGCGGGTTGAGGAGTACCGGGGCGAGTGGGGAGCCAGAAGAAGGGTCGCACGCCGGAGGGAAGGTACGCAGGCATGATGCAAAGTATTGATCAAAGGTCGCGAGCCGAGCAGGCGGGATTGCTGGACTCATAAACTCGTTTCGGTTGTGAAGCATCGGTCCTTCATTCCCGGACAAAGAAAGCAGTCGGCCGAGGGCAGTGTATGATCGCACAACATGTGTAATGGCGAGCAGCGAGTGAGTAAGGGGCTCGGCGCCGTTGGGAACAACCATTCCGTTGTCGCGTATAAAGTGGTCATCTACGCCCATGGGGAGTGGCACGTCGCAGTCGACATCATCGATCAACATGGGTCGCCCAAGCTCGAGGCTTAGACTGCGGTCAAGGATGTAAATGGACCACCAGGTACGCTTCCGCATCTCTTTTTCAATCAATGGCCACGAACCCATATCCGAGTGCAAGCCAATGTCCTGGGCCACCTTGACTGCGTTACCGAGCCAGTTCCATGCCGCGGACTTCAGGTTGAGCTCATTGAGGGCAATGCTGATGAAAACCAATGATCGAGCGTGGTCCAGCACAAAGTCGTTACCCCAAGGGTCAATAAGCTTCCTGGAGGCCTCGATCCATTCGGCTGCCCGGTAAGAACGGTGCGGATCTGGAGAAAACAGAGCGCCTACAGCAAGAACGGCGTAGAACATGGCCAGAAACGACGTAGGCACATGCTGTGTTAGTCCTCCTGGCCTGTACAAGTTATCAACCTCTTGCCGGAAGGTGGGCCAGTGTATAATGGGCGTCATGGTATGAGCGGACGAGTAATAGCAGCGCATCAGGTGGTCTGTTGTCTGTTGCGAGGGCAACTCGGGCCTCGGTGTGTAGTCAAAGATGGATGGACCGGCTGGCGAATGCCGATATTGCGCCGGCGGCTTCCACACTCCTTTTGCGGGGATTCGGATGTTTGACCGGGCTTGCGCAAGCGCGGGAATCGGGACAGGCCTCTTCTTCGGCTTCGGTTCGGCGCCTATCTCGGGAAGAAGAAGGGCAAGCATCTGCTCAATGCCCATGCCACCAACAGGACCGCTGTCAATGTCCATGCGGTCCATGGGCATGTGAGCTTGTCCACGGCCTAGACTATGGTTAACATGGCCATGAACACCGTGACCCTGGGTTTCCAAAGCTCGCTTCAGGTTGAGGTTCTCCCGCTTGAGCTTGTCCAGCGTCTTCTCGAGATCCTGCACCTGCTTAATGGAAGACATGCGCCGATTCGTCTCCTTGGTGAATTGGCACTTGACATTGCGGCTTGAACATTCGGAGCAGCTGGTAGTGTCGGTCGCGTCGCACTTGACCTTTCTCTCTCGGCAGGCGTCGCAACTTGGGTCTTTCCTCCTCTGGCGATATGCCCGCTTCTGGGCTTGTGAACTGGACGAAGGTAACTGGTGGCCGGATGAAGGGCCCGGCGTACCAGATACTGAGTCATTGGACGGGAGGGAGTCTCGGCCTCCCATGGTGAAGGGCGTTGCTGTGGCAGGCGTGTATGAGTGGAATGATGAGTTCTGGTGAGAGACCTGGTGGCTAAGAAGGTTCTCTGTCGAAGATGATGCCAGAGTGGAGATCCTCGGTGGATGTGGTGGCTGCGGCAGCGATCGTGGTGAAGGAGGGCGAGGTGCTGAAGCCGGAACCGATGAAGCCGGGGTCGTCCCTGGTACAGTAGCAGAAGGAGTCGTGCTAGTCAGGCCGCCAAGATACGGTTGCTGTGGCGCATGCGGTTTGGCAGAGGTAGCCGACGAGACGGGTGACTCGTCGAATAATGGAGTGCCAGTCGATGGGTCAACGGGGGATCGAGGACATGATGGCTTGTTATTGTTATTGTGCGACGACGCAGCTGCCATGGTGCTGGATTTTGAGAGGAGGCAGTTTCCGGCAAAAGCAGCCTGATTCGGAACCGTCTCCACAAGGTCCCCAATAGGATGGATTCTGGGGAGATGCCGGTCGAGGAACATGCAGACGGGACCTTTTGCGGTCTCGTCAGTTTGGCGGGAAATGGAGACCGAACCAGGACGGGGGTTTATAATTCAGACCCCGGCAATTCCCACGAGGCCACTAGCCTGCTTCTTTTTTTTTTTTTTTTCTTCCTTTTTTTTCTTCTTATAACTTGTTTTCTTCTCTTTTCCTCGCTTCACCTCGTAATTTTCCACACCCTGGCCACGCGCGCTAGGTTCTCTTATGCCGACCCAGAGGATCGATACGCACTAAGACACGCCCTCGAAGATGCGGCGCTCAACAATGATTCGTGTAGGTGTTTTCACCACTGTCTATTGCATGGAGGCTCGTTTCGTGTTTTATCATCGTTCGGTTATGTCTTTCGCGACGCTCAATTTCTTCAAAAGATATCGATAGAAGACGGCGCAAGCTTCCTCTGGCCGGTACCCGTTGTGACATGCCCCTTTAGCACGGCGAGAGCATTGGTGAACAGAACGTGTCGGTGCGGAGGTGTAGGTGCGTGGGTGGGCGCCAGGCCCTTTTTGTTTTTGTGGCCCGAGCCCCCCTGTGCCAAAGACTCATTCACACAATGTCTCAAGCTTTGGAGGTCCAATCTCGCTCAAGGCACCGTCCATTGTGCCTCTGTTGGGAATATTCTGCCCAGGTTCTCACAGTGTTGCAGCGCCGTGCAACCTCAACGCCGCCGCTATGATCCGCGAATATGCTGCGGCTGGCTTTCGTCAAACCTGAAAGGCTCGCCCCGCTGACCTTTTCGTGCTGCACTTGCCTATGGTGGTTGCTGTCCTCGGTGTCTGAGTCGGGATCGTGCTGTACTAGTAGATCCCCGGATCGAGTCTTCTTTTTGCAACCAACAGGCGGTCATACGGTGGCCCCTATCAGTAGCACCGGCGGATGTCTGTCCTTCTTATCCGTACTTGTCCCTTAGTGCTTCCTTCTCCTTTCAGGGTCAGGGGATGAATGTGGGGGAATTTCCGCCATATGAATAGCCAGTGGCAGCTTATACTTGGGTGAAACCTCAAGATATACAGCAGTGTATTGAAAGACAACCTCCAGTGCTTCCAGATCCCCATTCCGGTATAGTCCCCAGTACAGTGTGGTCTAGATTCTCCAATCTACTAGTTAATGGGCGGTGATCCCCAAAAAGGATCAATGGCCATCCAACAGTGAAAACCAACGCCTTGCATCTACAGATGTGGAATGGCTGCTGGAAGTGAAGTGTGGACGCAGGGCAGTTGAAACAATACATAGATACACGCAGGGCGAAAGAAGCTCTGAAAATTGGCTAACCGAAAGTGACTAGAAGAAGGACAGGAGGTGCAAAAGCAGGCCTGAGTAGCGTAGCAACGGTGAGCTTAGTAGGTATACAAGTATACAAAGAAAAGGGCTGAGGGGGTACAGGCTTTCATACAGCATGAAAGTGAAGCTACTTTATGCGGTCTAGCGTTGCGTTGAAGCGATCGCATCCCTCGTACCCAACTTGTCCAGTCTATGCGCTAAGCAGCATAGCTACCGCCGAGAAGAACGGAAACGAAAGCTAATGGTACTTGTGGTAAGCTTGCTACGCCAGAAATGATGATGAAAAAAGGGGTCATGAAAGTGATATGTAATGTGCCCCAGGGAGTGTTTGTTGAGGAAAGCTGAAGGTTTGAACCCATGCGCAGTCCGTATTCGGCGCAACTGATGCACCGAAACACCAGGAAATGCCAGCAACAACACCTTATGCCATTGCTCGCAATGTTTGAGGAGCGGTAATGGGGTAACCGTACCGTCGAAGCATGCTTGGGGGCCCCTGTTCTTGTTGTCATTGTGCTGCGTCACTGCCAGACTGTTTGTCCTGGTTTGTATCCTGAGTCCGTCCATAGCTTTTGCTCGCTCGTAAGAACCCCCTGCATCTGTAGATGACCAGGGACATCAGATGAAGCCACAAGGATACGTTCCACCAGTGAGATCTTCTTTTTCTCGTTCTTTGTTCTTTGCCCTGTGTGTCTTCAACGCAGAGCCATTTCGGCGGGCTTTTGGGATCTTGATTAAGGAACCCAGGGGCCGCGCTGACAACGAACCCCTGACCTGGTATGCCCATTTTGCCCCCGGTTTCCTTGCTTCCATGGCCAATCGTCCATACGGAATATTACCATGCCAAAGAAACCAATAAGAAAGGAAAAAGTGAATCGTGAAGACGAATACAATGCAGTGCCGTGCCTTAGTATAAACCGCCCTTGTGGCGGTTTGGAGAATCACAGTACGGGGCAGTAATTTTGGTTCATGTTGGCTTGACCGTCCGCATTCTTGTTCGAATTTGAGCAACAGATCCAATACAATCCCTTGACGGCGGGATGTACATTCAGGGCCCTTTAGGTCAGTCTCTCACTACTCACGCCTTGTTTGCCACAATATCACTGGCTCGGTGTTACGCTATTTCAGGGAGTTCGTCTCATTTTTCGGATTTGTCTGAAGTGCCATATCCCCGAGCACAGGCAGGAAAACGGGCGGGCAACGAGGCGTAATCCATTTTTTTTTTCGACCGAGGAGGTGTAGGCGGGGTTGGGACCGTCAAAGTGGATGTTGGTAGAACGGAATACATGTGCCTATCATGCCGTTGATTCCTCGCACCGGATGAGGCCCCGAGAGAGGTATGTATGGAGGAGCACTGCCGTTTGGTCGCTTTTCTTCTGAGTTATGATAGGTACCGGGCCCCGCGTTGGAGTTTGTCAGCCTCGGATCACGAACCTAAACCGGCGCGTCGAATCGTGACCATTCGGCTCAACCTGCTGAGTCCCGGCTGGTAATGTTTACCTACTGCGTAGAGTATGTAGAAAGTACTGTGTGCTGCGTAGGGACACACGCTGGCGGGCAGTGACAAGCACTTGTACATCGGATCTCAGCACATCAGACGCCGTGCGCTTGGATGGCAGCGGCCCCAGTGGATGGGCTAGCCGCCCAATCATGGTTGAAGCCGCAACCCGCCGTTACGCCATGCATACTAAGGGCACGGGGGTAGCAACGGGGAAAGGTCAGCAAGGCCGTCGAACCGTTGGCTTTACGTCTTGCCGCAGTCTGTGCGCAAGTGTCCGCAATTGTTGCGCGCTCCTTACCAGGGGGGGGGGGTCGCTACGGGCCTCACGGGCCTGTCCCGTTAGCGCGAATGGCGGAGGCCGACCAGGAGGGAGCTAGGGGCTGAGATGAACCGTGGACGACAAGTGGGCTTTGGAGCAAGGGGTTTGAGAGATCGTCGCCGATGCTCCTTGCTTGATGAACCGCTAGCGCAGTTCAGTCAGCGAAAAATAATGGTGCGGGAAGTTCCAATTTCTATGAGCACGTTCATAGTCTCGGCAGTGTACAAGAATAGGCACCGCGATGCTAGTGACCCGATATGGTTCGAAAAGACGGTATCTCTTGGCTGTCTGAGCCATTCATGCCCGAGTTGCCGGCTACGCAGGCTGCGTAAGAACCTGTGCAAGCTCAAGCCTCCTCGTCTCACCGTACTATGAACATCTGTTCCAGGTTTTGGATGGAATTGGCATGCAGTGTTCGCAGCAGCAGGCAGCTACACGTAATGTAGGATCATGCAAGCCGTGACAGGCAAGCAGTATTCGGTAATTCGCTAGAGCGCAGTCTAGGTGGAATTTCAGGACCCTGATAATCCGTGATGACGGTGTGAGCCTCGACATTTACGTGCACCGCGTCTCCTCCCTGGTCACTCACTGCTTTGCCTCGAAGAAGGTATCGGGCTCGGCTACCCGTGGAACTGGAAAACAGCAGTTGCAGCCAAAGAACCAAAATAATGCGTGGCGTCTGATAGCGCCCATTCCACCGGGATGCCGCCTTGCCAAGCGAATCCAAAGCAGACAACCATCCAGCCCATCATTTTATGTTGCCCCTCTCCGGATTCCGAGTTCGCAGGATGATCAACGGTACCGGGTACCCGTATCCAATATGTTTCTGAGGCCTGATTCCAATTCCACTTCCGCCACCAAGGGCGTAGAGAAAGCTGGCGAGGGAGGACTTGTCATGTGGCACTGCTTTGAACATGGCAGCTACTTCCGTAATGTGATATATTGTCCTACCGGGTCGATGCAGAATTCCGGATCAGCGCTACATGATTCCTGCGATCTGTATGGGCCAAGCCCGTCGGCACCCGCTCCAGCGGAAGATGATGGGGGACGAGGACGACGTTGTTGTTGACTCGACTCGCAAGTTCGATTTTTAGGAACCCGGCTAGGATCTGGCTCAGGATCCAGCCTCCCAGGCTCTCCCAGGACCGGGCCCATTGGGGAAAGTTTCGTCACGACAGGGCCTAGCGAAGCAGCAGGGAATGCTGATCCAATAACTGGAGCCCAAAGTCCACCGGTAGTGTCAAGATGAGGGAAAATGGAATGGAGATGGCATGTGGGGAGCTCTCCACTCGGCCGGCATCCGGTGATGAAGCCCTTGGAGCCTTTCAAGCCCTGGTACCTAGCGCTTGAAAGCACAGGGGAACCAGGTGGTGAGGGTGGAGGACCTTTCTGCTCGGCGACCTGAGGCTTGGCTCCATGCTACGGTAGCTTCAACCGAGGTGTCAGGCTGTGGTGTGGGATTCGGTACGAAAAAAGTGAGCAATGGGAATGAAACGGTGGCAGTTGGGCAGACAGACCGCCTCCTCTTTCGGGCTCCACTCGTCCCGAAGAAAAAAAAAAAAACGCCAACAGTATTCATTTTTGGAGCAGTGTGTAGTGGACGTTGGTTTGTCACCCGCTCCGTCATCCGCCCGCCCATCTTCTCTTCCGGAGTCATGTTCGGAAGAGATCCGGCCGAAGCGTGGTGTCAAACACCCACACACCCGCACATCCACACGCCTCGGGACACCAACTTGGATGCTTATGACACCGTTGTTTGCGTATTGCGAGTATAATACTGGCTTTGTGGCGGTGGCGGCGCAAATAGTGGTGGTGAACGTGGTGGTTGCCATGCTGTAGCAGTGATGAACTGATGATGCCAATGGTCATGGCGGTGGTGGTGTCGATTGAGCGCGACTTCTTCTTGCGCTCATGATTTAGCATGGGAGTCCAATCCATTCCAGTTGCTGTCTCGCTTTGCTTTTCTCCTCATTTGGGCCAGCCGGATGATTGGACCAGTCGGAATCCAGGGCATCTCGAGCTGGCTCATTAGTGATGTCTTGCCAACATGTGGCATATTGGCAAGTCAGTACCTAGTCATGACTGTCTCGAGAAGAAAACAGTGGCAGGGCAGTTACCGCTTCAAGTCGCGGTTGTAAGCATTGGCGGTTCTTTCACCAAATTGGCAGGGGCAGAAGTCGAAAAGCGAAAATGCAACAAGATGAGATTGAGAACAATGAAACAAACGATCTGTCGTCGATCTCGTTCTCGAAATTGCTTAGTACACGTATGTAGTTCGTCGCGTCGGGATCTCGGTCGGGAATGGGAATGGTCGAGTCGGAGTGTGAAGAGTGTGAATTGGACATGTTCTCAAGTTCATTGGTGCCTGGTCCATGTCAGCCACGCTCTCTGAGTGTCAAGCCACAACTGTCTCGTTAGATTGGTGTCCATCTTCCAAATCGGATAAGGAACCCTGCCCTAGATGCTCCACTCTTTTCACCAAGCCCAGAAACCCACTCTCTCTTATTGGTTATCCCCGCTTGCACCGGTCACCGTTTCAAAATCGGTACTTCCACTTTTACGAGTACGTACCTGTCCTTGCAATGCGCCGAACCGGAACCTGGTCCCGTCCTTTTCCTTCTCTCCACTTGTTGCAGTGAGCGGCTTAATTTACAAAGACGAACTCCGACTGGTCAGAACCCGTTTCTCATCAACATCCAGAGCGTCTCTAACGACGAATCTCAAGTCCGCCACCGACACTCCAGCAAAGCCCATAATATCGAGATACGCTAATTCGTGACGGACGGACTGGCGACAGCAATTTGGATGGCGCCGTTTCAGCAATCTCACTCCCGTTCAGCTAGCATCAGGTTGGCCATTACTTACCTATTTACCATCATCTGCGTGGCATCCCACGACAGCAGCCATGGTAGCAGCAGCCACCCATCCCTTCAACAGTACCCGACACTACTAGTATATCTGAGGGGGGGGGGGGGGGTTGGTATGTAAGCAGGCTTCAGTCTGTGCCTTGTGCCCTGTGCCTACCACGCCGCCTAACCCGACGACACCTGCATGGACCTGTACCCGTGAGCGAGTTCCCTTCCTCAGTAGACTGGTGGTTGGTTATCAAAGATGATGCACCTCTCTCCCATTTTGGTTTAGTGTCTCCGTGCCTTCAGTACAACCATCTCGTCAGTTGGAAATGGGCCTCTCTTGGCTTTCCAGATCATCTCATCACTCCCCATCTACATACTGCGATGTACAAGCGACAACAGCAGGGCGCTGGATCGTTCGGTTGGCTAACGCGGCTGGCTCGCTAGGGACCCGCTAGCTACCATTACCAAGGTCATACCTTGACCTTGCAAGCACTATCGGCCAAGCTACCCAGATGCTATCGTAGCCACCAGATCTATGCCGATGCTACCTCGACCTCTGCTCGATGAGAACTCCCGCGCAAAAAATAACACGGCGAGCCTAGATCATCTTGGCACCATTCCGCGACAAACTTGGCCATCCCATCGCTCTCCAACACCATAGGATGCGGCTCCTCGGGTCAGTCCGAGTGTAGCGAGATACAGAGCGACAGGAGCGACAGACCAATGCCTCCAGATGTCGTACCGGTTGGAGTACATCACATACATACATACTGAGAGCGTACAACAGGCCAACACGCCCCTGTCCGCCTATTTCACGGCGTTTCACATGGAATTGACGGGGTCCAGCACAGAGGCTGAGTGCTGTACGCAGTAGGGAGGCTCGCCCAATGCTGGGGTCATCCCTGCCCCGCCTTCCCGAGCCCTTACGACTCGGGCCCCGCGCATCCTGTGAAGGGGAGCCAGCCCGGAGAGCCGGATGCGCCCGGGTGTATTGCGATCAGCCAGCTTCAATATCTGCTCCGCCCTCCCGGTTGCCAGCACCTTGTCGCAAATTCCAGGGCCGACACCCGCAACTACCATGTTCCGTGTTTCGAACATCACTCGATCGGCGCTCTGCAAGACTGAGCAAATATGTCAGCCCGTTCGGCCGTATCCGCATCCAACTGCACCGCCCAATTGAGCGAACCCCTGTACATGCAAGATTGGGAAAAGCAGTAGCACACTGTACGTACCTGACGCAGTCGCCAGTGAGTTCGTTCAACACCAGTTTCTTCTTTGAAATATGACAGAACACGGTAGCCATCCCGCAAAGTGTGAATTCGCTTTTACAAAAGCAAAAGTTGGGTGCATCCTCACATATTAGGGCGGAAAAATAGGTACTTCTAAGACCGATAGGCTGGATTTAGGAGCGGAGTTGAGTCGGCATGCAAGGTAGGCACATGGGGTGGAATCAACCACTGGGCACGCAAACCGACAAAGTGCGCCCCTCGCCGAGGAATGGAAACATCCGAACGGTTACATGTGCGTCGTTCTGGGCCGTACATATACGTACCTGCCGCGCCTACGTGTACGGTACCTACACTGAATACCGCGTAGGTACAACTGGACAGCAGCGTTCCATGCCAATCAACTCTCTGCTGCATCGCAAGACACTACCCAACTGGGCGAGCTTCTGCTGCCCATGTAGCACTGCACAGTGTTGCAGGGCACTACATGGAATGGAATGATCACGGAGATTCACTCCGAGTGCAACTCAACCTTCTGGAGGTGATGAGTGGACGTTTTCTGAGACACACAGCATCGTGTCAGCCAAACAGACGTACCAAATCTGCCAGTCAACCATGCTTGCCGCGAGTGTCCAGCAGAGCCAAGAAAATGATAAAAGAAGAAAAGAGAAACGCCATCTCTGCGAAAGATTACCGTGACAGCTTTCGACCAAGCGAAAGGGTGCCCGTAAGACGATATTAGCCACTGTCATGGGATCAAGAGGACGGTATGTCGTGTAACTGCGAATAACCTACTTGGGCTATTCAGGCCACTGGTGGTGGCGGCGCACCACGCAACGGTAGTGTGACGGCGATGGGAGCTTTTCCGATTCGTAACAAGCTCCTTCGGATATCGAAAGGTCTTCTGGTCCAGAGCAAGTGTGTATCGGAAGCAAACAAAACATCACACACAAAGGGCCTTCATTCATACTGTGGTACGGGGAATAGATATCAGATCCCCATATCAGCGTACCGGAGCGCCATGCACACTCCCGTTTGCGCACCTCTATTGCTCGCCAAGCTCGGCAAGATGCACACCGGTGTCGTCAAGGAGCATAGGACCGTCATCATGGCACAAGACTTATGCTTTCAAGAGTCTATTTGCGAGTCGAGAGTTCAAAGAAATCCACAGACCGGCATCAGAACGACACCATCACATGAACCGGACTATTTCCTGTCTGAGGGCGTCTGGAGACCCCGAACATCTAGTAACGTGAAAAAATGTTCCCAATGGGGATGGGCGATGTCCAACGTTCTATTTAGGGGTTCCTGGCTGACGGTCAGCCTGATATCAATAACTAGGTCACTTAAACGGACACCGCCGCTCGCGCCCTCTTCTCCCGTATTCGCTTTTCGAACATCCAAGTGAATGGTCCTGGGAGGCTGGACGTCCACTAGTTGTGACCGCTAACATTCTCCTAGTGTGCTCCGAATAAACGATAGGTCTTCATACAACATCATGACTTGACATGAATCGTCACGGCAAGCCCTCGAGATCGTAAACATACCTACTAGCCGGCAACGCAGATGCTGGTTGGCGATCCTGGTCTATCTTCAAACCCTCATGGCAGATCTCCGTACTATTTGAAGATGTCACGAAGCTTATATGGCGTATGCCGCTTCCTCGGGACGTCATTAAATTGGTCAACCCAGACAAAAGGTGGTATCCTTGCAAAAGACTCTTTTGCTGATGACCAAGGCGAAAGTGAGACCAGTTGAGCACAGTGGGTGATGGCGTTCGAGTACAATACCGGTCAACAGGATTGAAAGAGCGGTCCGGCAGATAATTAGATTTTGAGATTGCCAACATGTCAGACTAATTCATATCTAGCAGATCACCAGTGACAAAGTCTCCCGAAAAGTTGCCAGTGGTGCGCGCTATCCTAGGCAGCCAAGGTGAGGCATCACCCCTGCGAAGCAGCTAAACCAGACTACGATGGACCTAGGCTTTGTTTGTGAACCTGTCCGTCAAGCCCCATGGTTCCCCAGGACATCCGGATGGCTACCGATCAACTCGCTATATACAAAGTAAGCACTGTCCTGTCTTGCTAAACCGCCCGGTTGACGCCGTATCGAAATGATGTTGGACGGTTTCCAAGCGGACGTAACGCTTCTGCAATGTACCTTCCCCACCAGCTCACTCTTGGCAACCTAGTCAGCCCTTTTCCCGTCTTTGGTATCGATTGCATATGAAAAATATTTGTTGGTGGACAGGCAGAGCAGGCTGGCAGGCTGGCTTTTCGCTCTCCACACGGAAACACTACGTGATCCGACTACACACCTACTGTTGATCCCAGCTCTACTCTCGGAATGGTAACTACCGTTAGGTCCCTGAGCCTAACGAACCATCCTCTTTCTTCGCGACTCTGCGTGATGTGTTTTTTGGGTTGCATTTGCACCATTGCGTACTGCAATGCTGACATGGCTGTGGAATATGAACAGCAACCACAACACTCATTTCTTCCCGAGATGAGTTATCAACAAAATATCAATTTTTTTTGCTGGGCCGAAGCGGGGCGCTGGAACGCAAGACCGACGCGGTGATCCTGCAATTTCGGTGCCCAATGATCAATATAGACTGCCTAAGAGGCCAGAATACACGATACCGTGGTAATCGCTAGTTCGCTCTGCGACAATGTGCGGCTCGCGGCTCACGGCTCGATATTGGGCTCATTAACTGGCTCCTACTGGGTCTGGATTTGGCAGCCCCGCTTTTTTTTCTTTTTTTCTTTCTTTTTTTCCCCTTTAATACAAGGCGACGGATGACACCGACAGTGTGATGCTTGTTACCTACGAGCTCGGCATAGCATTTGGAGTTACTACCCATTTGCGGGCACTTACACTACAACAGACACCATACGTAGAAGTAGGCTTGGGCCCTTGAAATGAGCCAGAATGTAACCGTGACGATAGGACTGGGCAGAGGACAGATGAGAACCAAACTTCGAGGAAGAACGGTTCTCGGATGCTGCATATAGTGGACAGATTTATGCACCACTTGGTCGTAACTGGCACCCTCCATCAGCGGACTGTGCCGTGATCGGGCAGGATCCCTTAAGAAGTAGGGTTTGGCATTATAGGGGTCCTCGGAAGAGGACAGGTGAGCAGTCGAAACTTCTGTTGCATCACATACGCTCTTGGACCCTTGGGCCCAAACTGACAAGATGACAGAGAGTAGGGGACCGAGATGAGGCTACTCCCTTCACATGATATCGTACGATACACCCTCACGTTCATCAACCTTACCGACATTGGGCCGACCGTCAGCCTCCAGGCAAAGGACAAATCGTGCCAAGAGCTCCCGACATCTTTCTTGAACGGGACCACCACGGACAACCGCTGCCTCAATCTGGCCGGTATGGATGGCATCATACAATTTCGTAGGGCTGTTGTGGCTGGCTGCCTCAGTCAGTCTGGCTGACTGACTGGCCTTCCCAGCTTTCTCTTTCCATTAGAGGGTAAGAAAAAACGGAGAATCCACGCGTTTATGAACGCCTCATTGCAGACCGTGAACGCCTCTCCTTTTAATTCTTATCGATGCTTAGAATCTGGGATCATAAAGTAGTATACACCAGACAGACACTGATGTTTGCCTCGTCAACAACGAGGCTTTCACGAGGCGTTCAACGCCGTGTCCTTTCTGTTCGAGCCTGTGATTGTGCTAGATATCTAGTAGGCCTCAGATGAGAGACATCTGGCGCGCACACACGCTTCACAGGACTGTCGTGGGCCAACTTTATTCCTTTCCATTCACTCATCCGAAAGTCTTAAGAGAGTTCATGATTGAATGAATACATCCAGCCACGCGGGAAGTAGCAAACGCCCCCAAGACAAGGGGAGGTCACAAAGGCTCGAAGCTGGCCGCGTGCGGCTGTATTTGGTGTGGCTGGTGGCTTGCTGGGCGCGGACAAGATAACAGGCATCAACGGGTGAACAAATGTCTCGGTCCCGATATTTGGGCTACGGGACAAAGAGTTGCCATTCCACCGGTTGCCTGCTTTGTCTGCCTGACGGGGTTTGAAACATTCTGTAGAACCGTTGACTTTGGGCAAGCCGTTGGCCCGGTCAGGTGAGAAGTTTCTTTCGGGCCGAGCCGACTGCCGCTGTGGTCTCTTTTCTTTATCCAATAGTCATCTACCCATCAGCCTCGACTATGGTGCCGTCATCAACAATGGGTACTGGAGGGAGTCGGGGAGTATATCAAGATGCTATACATGTGAAGGATCTTGGGGAGTATACTCACGGAAACCGTTCGTTCGTTCATGGAACGGATTTGAGTTCGGTAAGGTACATTTGGTTGTCGACCGAGTTTCCTGAGTTCATCGCTCGTACGGACGTACGGAGCAATGGAGCTTACAAAGCTATCACTCGCTCCAACCTAAATCTTACGGTAGGGTAGGTATATTTACTTGTTTTCCATGTAAGTACAGGGCAGGACAGCAAAGTTTGGATTCTTTCCCCGACAAAACTGTGGCTGCTGAGGGATTTCTCTCGACTACCTATCTAGCACTTCTCCTGGTTTCGTGGCCAGGCATGCCGTCGAGTCCGTTAATTGACGTTGGACCCTCCCCAGGATGATCGACAACACTCTGCGCATTTACGTATTCCCTTGCAATAAACCCGGGTATACCGAGCCGGATTAGCCCTGCCCGATCAACCAGATTAGGAAGTGGACGGAACATATTATCAACTCCTCATGAATTTGTCCCAAGCAGTAATCAGTAAATGGACTTTCTTGTTTCTACATCCCCATCCGTCTTCGCTTCGCCTCTCACTCCGATGTTCACAGTCTGACCATTGATCTAACTGTACATGTAATCGTGCATAGATGCCGAAAACCGAACACTAGCTGCCCGCTCGTTCAGGACAGATTAAGTAGAGGTAACGTCAGATAGATAGCAAGCAAATCAGCAAGGCAGGTTAGATGTAGGTAGGTAGGTACGTACTTTTGTGTAACGGCCGAAAGGGCTAAAAGGACTTTCTTCCCCTCGGATAGCCGCGTAGTCCCATGTCATCATGTGTGATCGTGGACTTTTAGTTGCCATCCCCGTTTATTTTGTTTGCCTTCTTTTTTTTCTCGAATCCCCTGTCATTTCATTGGAGCTATGAAATAAGCAAGGTGCATGTTTCCGGCAAGCTTACCCGGTCTCACATTGTGTGTGTTTTGTGTCTTTCATATACCACTCTATGTATAATGGAACATTCTTGAAGAAAGGGTTGGTCGTATGTTTGACGTACTCACAGTTTTCTATAAAAAAAGAACGCTGATGTTTTATCGTTGGTAACAGGACTTTCAACCATGTTTTTTGACCGGTCGTGGTTGGAGTAGGTGATTTCCCCGAATGTCTGGGCCTTTATTGTAAACCGTGGCGAGCGCAATGAGAAATGGGAGTTTCACATTGCAGATATATTTGCCGCATTCATTGAATATCTCAATACATATTTCTCGTGGTGATAGTCTTCGCAGCTCGATTTTGCTTGAGGTGGCCGCCATTTGTTTGCTTGAGGTCTATCGAAGAGGCCGTTACCCTACCTACATAATACATATGACAGGCCAGTTACCAGAGCGTTCATACTCTCCTGAGTGTGCTCCATCTCTCCAGCTCGTCACTGGTGTACATGTCAAGGGATGAGCTTGGTGGTGTTTCCTGTAGCGCCCCAGTCGCGCGTGTATACGCTATTGTATACCTGATGGCGAGTGAAACGAAAACATTCTTAATCCGATGACTTGTGAACATTGAATAAATTAGATAATATTTGATCAATTGTCTTGTGGACACTTCGAAGTAGTGCCATACGTTGAGCCACAACTTCATGTTGGAGGAGAACGAATGCGATCGCAGGCTGTGCATTCTCCTTTGTTGTCGTGTCGTTCAACAAGACTGAAACGGTCTTTCATGATGAAGATACCCAAGTTATTTTCTGCGAAGCGAGTGAAAACAGTTGCTAGAGATATGCTCAAGAGAGGATCGGAAAAGAACAAGACAAGCTTGTAACTAGTGCAGCATGCATACATCAACTTCATGAAGCATCCAATGTCACTAGAGTTTCTTATATAGAGAAAATAGATTTCACGTCCCCTCTCCTGAGCCGAAATCCAATCAGGATTGTCGGCGCTCCAAATTCATGCTGTGAGGTTCATGACTTGAGTCACCAAAAGGTTGATACACCAACAACGATCACAAAGCTCTAGATATAGTTCCACCAAGTGACAGCTGTAAACATGGAAGGCTAACTGTCTGTGACATCAGGCCCGTCAAAAATACAATGTCTTCGGGATTTGTACTCTGGAACGCCATGTCAGCATGTGAAGGCGACATGCCCGAGATGACAAGACACTTGAACCTTGCACCTTACACATGTGTCTTCAGTAAGAACGAATACTCCTAAAGCATAAAATGACCATAATAACCACAGGGTCTTTTCCTGCTGTCACAATATAGGTCCGTTCAAAGGTCCAGATTATAATGGAACAACCTTGGACAGGACGTTCTGAGTGTCGAATACCTAGGTGCCACTATGCAACGTAACAACGTATAACACTGGAGGACCGAGTCAATAGCGGGCTCTTGAAAGTCTGTGATCTTGATCATTTGGGGAACTGGCGGATTAGATGAAGATATGGCACTTTCAGTCTGCTGTTATGCTTCCATGTACTGGCGAGAAACCTCCTCGAGCTTCAAAAAAAAAAAAAAAAAGAAAGGCTATCTGTTAAGCCGCCTAACGGACACTCGCTCAAAGTTAGATGGGCATTTCAACCTGTGACTTGTGGTTTCGAAATTTGAGGATGGGAATCATATGTGAATGGCGGCCGAAGGAGAAACAGGAACGTGGATTTAAAGAACAACCTAGATGGACTCAGGAAGACGGCACACATATATGTTCCTGTCCCATAGCCTGACAGATTGTAGATGACGTGTCCAGTGATGTTCAACTTTGAATGGTCCTAATAACGAGCAAGCAGGTCAGGGCTCCTTACCGGGACTTGTAAGGTATTGCCATCGATCTTCACCCGGGTGACAGTCACCCCGGTGACCAGATTCTGACATTGAAGGGCCAAGGTTTCTTCCCAAGTCCAACCTTCGGACGGTTACCCCACACCGACCGAGTCCGGGACGCCGTTCCTTCCTCCTGACGGGCCGCCCTGAGTTTCTGCCTGATCACTGACACAGCCATTGACCAATGGTTTTGGCCGTGCGTGTTGCGAACCTCAAACTCATTTTTTCCACAATCGCTTCTCGTGCGAGTTCCGGGCCGGACAATCACAATAGATACCCCACCTGTCTGAATAGACCCAAACAGTAAACAACCCACCCTATTGCTTGCTATTGTCGCGGTATTCGCATTATTGCAACGCAATGGACCGAGTACAAGATTGGGTAACTGGTCTTCCTACTCCCGGAGTTATTGCTGCCCCTTTATCTAGCCCTGTCGCGAGCAACATCTCCCTCTCTTCAGGCAAATCGAATCCTCCTCCGCTGAGAAGAAAAGGAAACATCACGCCCGATCAGCTTCCTGACAAGACCTATCATCAGCATCATCGTGGTCATTCGGAACAAAACACAAAGACATCTCAACAACAGCAATCATCCATTACGACGCGTGAACCCCCGCAGGATACAGCCACCAATATTCCGTCAGTCACTCGACCAACTTTCGACATTGCCTCTTGCCAGCAGAACAACGAGCTCACCATGTATGCCCACGACAGCAAGGCCATTCGTGGCAATTTTATTCCCGTATCCAAGTCAATGAATGCTCGTGCCCCCACTCCCCCGCGGGAGCCGTCCGAGAACATTCACCACTTCTTGCAGCTCAGCTTGACCGAGTCGCAAATGGAGAAGTTAGCCAAAGTGTAAGATAACCAGCGATATGTGGGTTGTTTTACCAATGCTAACCCGCATAAGCTTATCCGAGGATGGCGACACAGAACGAGAATCGCGCGGTCGTCAAGCTCCTCAGACTGAAGTTCAGCAGCCCGACGTCGTCGATTCAGTCAAGCCCAAGCCCAAGGCCAAAGAGCACCAGACGCTAAAGCAACGATTCAGATCTCTCTCCCCCGCAAAGAGAAGAAAGCACCAGCAAGAGGTGGTTGCTACCCCTCCCAGACAGCGCTCGCCTTCGCCCGTCAGAAGAGGTACGGGACCGAAAACGTCTGAGCAACGCCGGCTTGGCTATGGCTCCGACTCTTACCAGTCGCCTCAACCTGCTAGCAAGCAGAGACAGTTCCATCAGCACCAGGTTTCGTGGGATCGGCAGTACGATTCTCCCAAGACTGTGAGCAGACAGAGACAGCAGCAATGCATGTCCCCTCAGTCCGCTAGCAGGCAGAGACAAGAGCATCAGCAGGAACAACGTGCTGCCGAGGCAGCTGCCTTCCGCTTGGCTTCTCCCTCTCCTTCAAAGCGTCGTCAAGATCGTGTCCCTCCTGTCCCCATCGACACCGACATTGCTCGTCTTCACGCCAAGGTCACGGCCCATCGTGAACCCATCGTCATCCATTACTCTCCTGAGCCCGATGCGCGAGTGGCTTCCCAGACTGTTCAAATTGTGGCCACAGACAAGTCCTCCGTCTACTCCCAGGAGAATCAAGAGAAGGCTCCTGACCCCCGTTTCCGCTCCCAGATAAGTCCCCTTCACGTTGTCAAGGAAAACAAGGAGAATGATAGCGGATACTCCCAGACCCTCAGCATCCTTCAAGATTACGGTAACTGGAGCAACTGGGCCAACTCCGAGGAGCCTGTTCAGAGCAGCCAAGGCCCAGAAGTCACTCGCGCTCCCACCAAGTTATCCAACCGCAGCGCTGACCGGCCTGGCACCGACGGAGCCACAGGCACAGATGACTTCCACTACTCAGCCCTGACTCCTCTCTTCCCAATCCACAATATCAACAACCCCAACCGCAACATGCGCATGGCCTCCAAGACCTTGATCGGTGAAAACGGCTGGTTGGAGTCTACGTCTCGTCCCTCTGACGCCCAGCCCAACAATCAGCTCAACACCGCCACCTCCAACGGCACAAACAAGAAACCATCAACCGCCGTTCCCGCCCGCAAACCCGGCTTCCTCGACAACCTCGTCAAAAAGGCCAAAGACTTTGTCTCTGCTCCTCTGCCCGAGAACGCGAACAACCAACGCTCCTCCCACGACTCCAACAAGCCTCACTCCCCGCGCACCTTGCAAATCAGTCTCACACCTCGCGAGCAATCGCTGCTCTACTGCGAACTTGAATTCCTCCTTTCCACCCTCCTAAACACTTACATCACCACGCAGCTCTCCCTAGGTCTACTTGACCATAACAAAGTCCGCCGCATCTCAGACACATGGCAATCTAAAGGCCGCCCGCGCGTCGTCTCCTTCCGGTACGACCTCGAAACCCAACTCGATCTTGTCCGCTTACACGTCAACGACTTCAAGTTCTACGGCCCCGCAGCGGCCAACACCACTACTATCATGGGTATCGTAGACGGCGCCAAGACAGATGCAAGAGCCATGCGCATCAGGACGTTTTGCCAACCGGACACGGTAGTGGCGAAGCAACTTGTTGGAGCGAGGGCGTTGTGCGGGCTGCTGGGCGCCGGAGACACGGAAGAGAGAAAGCTGGGGGAGTGTGTTGGCTTCTTCAGGGCGGTGGTTGAGAGAGAGGTGCAGAGGGGGATGATTGAGGTTGCTGCTGGTGGCAATGGTGGCAACGGTGGTGGTGAGACAACGATGGACGAACAACAGCAGCAGAGAGAGTCGGGGAATACTACGACTTCGGGCGACGGGATTTGGGTTGGTGGTGCGCCGCAGTATCAGGGACCGCCGTCGCCGATTCCGGAACAGAATCTGAACCAAACTCAGACCCAGGCGCAGATCCAGACTAGGAGCCAGAGCCCAGTGAGACGCGGTGGACATTCGTTGGACGAGTCTAACAAGTGGCATCAGCATCATCATCATCAAGAGCAGCAACGCCAACACAACACTGCCCCCGGCCACCCTGGTGCCAGCGGCGGTCACAACAACGCGCTCTCTAGCCCGGTTCGGTTCACCACTTTTGCTGCTGCTACGAGTGGTGGTCACTTGAAGGGATCGGCGTCGCAGGGAATCATCAAGATGGATCCGAGTGCTTATGAGGATGACATTCATCCAGGCTCCAAGATCTTTTGAGTATAGCCTGCGACTGGTTAATGCTGGATCTCTCTTTTTATCTCGTTTTGCGGCGTTATGGAAAGCGTAGTTTCTTTGAGCGTACTTTCTTTCTGCTTCATGGAATGGATGTGATGGACAAATGATGTATGATCAAAGATACCCCCCCCCCCCCCCCCCCCCCTCCTCTCCCTCGGTCTGGTAGTTTGCTTCCAAAAAAGAGAAAATGGGTAGTGGAAAGGAAGGAGCAAGGCGTTGGTACTAGCCGTTGGAGCAATGGCTTTGATCTAATGGCGGTGTTGAGGGAAGTTGATGGCGATGGCGTATCTAGTGTAGGAGTAGAACAAAACAAAACATTTCCATCAATCTTGATGAGACCAAATACAAGAATAAGGGTGATTGACTGTAACAACGGATGATTGATGGCAAAAAGCACGACCATGTCAGGGCGCATCCCGCATACAACTCGCAAAGTGACATGAAATGCTCTGTAATGTAGGTGAGAAACTGGCAGGCGGGAACCGGCTGTCATTAGGTTGTCGGGCCATCTCTCAAAGGCATCAAGTGGCTCGGTTTTGGGGTGCATGTGCACGTTTACCTGTGCGTTAAGGTCTGTTCATCGGTGATTTGTGCCGAGAACGAGTCAGGGTTGGGGTTTTGTTGACAGTGGCTCAGCGAACAACAGATGTACCTGGGAGACAGACAAAGCCACAATGAGACGATATCAGCATGAAGGGAATCTGAAATGTCATGAAACTGCGCTATGTGAAGCATTAGACAGTGTCCAGAACGAGTTCTAGCACCTGATGAGATTGTTCACTGCTTCGGTTTCGTCAATCTTGAGCTCTTGTCCTCGTTCTTTTCAAAGTCCTTCGCTTTGTTTTGCTGTTCTTTTCTCAAAGCCATCATGACCTATATCAATCCAAGTCACTTGTACAGTCAGTTAGATACACCCAAGCATCAAAAGGTCCCCCAAAGTCCACAACATGATCTGGAGCTTCGCCGTTCATCCTTAGTTCCTCCTTAATCGCACCTAGGTGATAGATTTTTTCTCACATATTATTACCCACTTTCGTCACTATCACACTTTGTACTTACGAATCCTTTTCATCGAACCTATCCACATTGGCTAGTCACAAACGCGCGTATGTACACGCGACACATTACCACTTATATCCGGCCATCAGGGGTTCCATGGTTCTAGACACACCCGAGTCAGTTGTTCCCGAGCTCCCATTTATATCCGTGGACCCAGGCCGCGCAATCATGAACAGGGTCCCCCGGCTTCACAACCCCGTTACCGTGGCATCGGCCTGCACACGGTGACGCAAGCCCTCGTGGCTTTGTTTCTCTCTAACTAACTAACTCGGTTGGCAGTTCACCAGTCGTTGATTTCATGTTGATATTTTTTTTTTTTTTTTGGCTTGCGAATTTTCGTTGAATGCTGGGGAAGTCAAAACCACCTAGTTCCTGTTCCTCGTCAGTTATGGGTCGAACTTGAGTTCGTCTTTCATCCGGTCTTCCGGCGCATTCGCAAGGCAACTGGAAAAAAGTTAATTTATACCTATCTGCGAACCTTGACTCTTCTCCTTCTGATCCAAACCCATTATTGTTCTTTTTTTGCTTGACACCGCCGGCTGGACATTCCGTCACGGTTCTCTCACAAACCAGCAATTCAAATCGCACAAAATGTGGTCTTCACTAACACCAGCACGAAGACAAGCCACAACGACATCATGGAGGGATCGCCTATTGACCCTCCTCATGGCCTTGACCCTCATCCTATCCTCACTTGCCAGCCCCCTCCCAATTGAAGGTGCCGTCAAAGCCAACAACAACAACGATGCCGTCTCTCAGCCCCAGGCCCAAGCCAAAGCCGAAGTCAGGCAATTCTCAGCACCAGCGCAAGCGCAAGAGGCCGAGACAACCAACGCCGCTACCCCCGATGGCACGACCGACACCAACACAGACGACCCTCTCCTCCCCGAACGCAAATACTTCCACGAACCCGGCTGGACCGAAGAGCTCAGTCACTACGACACCCGCTTCTTCACCTCGCCCGTCCCTTACGACCCCCACCTCGTGCACCTGCGCCACCTCATCCGGTCCTACCTGCTCATGACCTCGTCGCGCTCCTTGACCACCTGGCTTGCGCACGGCACGCTGCTAGGGTGGTACTGGAACGGCGCCATCATGCCGTGGGACTATGATCTCGACGTCCAAGTTAGCAACACCACGCTGGGGGAGATGGCGCGGGAGTGGAACCAGACGACATTCGATTACGTGTATACCCTCTCGGAAGAAGAGGAAAAGGAAGGGCTGGGCAAACAGGGCGATGTCAATGTCAAAAAGTACTTGTTGGATGTGAACCCGTACTGGGCGCAGAGGACGAGGTTGGAGGGGATGAATGTGATTGATGCGCGGTGGATCGATATGGAGAATGGTATGTATGTGGACATTACGGGCTTGAGTGAGGATCGCGAAGAGACGGGGACAAGACAAGGGGTGTGGAGCGATAAGAATTATCATGGCTATGGGACGAGACAGATTTGGCCACTGAGGAGGACGGAGTTCGAGGGCGTAGAGGCGTGGGTGCCGTGGGATGTGGAGGGGGTTTTGAAGGAGGAGTACGGGGCGAGGAGTTTGACGGAGGAGTCGTGGGCTGGGTGAGTAACTTCCTCTTCTTCTTCTTCTCCTGTTTGTCTTTTGGGGTTGGGGGGGAAATGAAGTTGATGGCACTTACTGACGATTGATTAATGTGACAGACACCACTTTGACCATGGGCGGAAACAGTGGGTGAAGACGGAGTTGGCGTAAAAGACGTCGTGATGGAAGAAGCCTTCCTCGGGTCGGGAAGATGAGTTCTTTTGTCTTGTTCCTTGCATTTCTGGCGTTGGGATACCGGTGGTTTTTGAAACGGGCACATAAAGGGATCAAACATAAGAGGATTAAAGGGGGATGAAGGAACCGCAGTTTCCATGCGATATTGGTCGTTGGGATCGTCGCCAGGAGCATATATACCTCTAGACGAGCATAATACCCGTGATCTTGTAGTCAGCTTTCCGATAGAATGTGTGCCTGTTAACTCGTTTGCGAGACTGAAGGAATAGCGGCTGGCACGCAAATAGATGGCCAACAAATGGTCCAACGCTGTTGTTACATGGCTTGATCGCTTGATCATAAAACAAAAAAAATATCCCCTATGACTCGTGGACAATTAGTCCGGATATCACCACCGAAGTACAACTCCGCCAACGCCTTACCCAAACACAACCTGGTCATATTGCTTATCATCGAGATACTTTTGCAAAACACCCTGCAACGCGCCCTTCGTCTTCTCCATAGCAGGCACCACCCCCTCAATCTGCTCCAAGTTCCCTCTCATACTCTCCATATGGCTTCCCAACTGCTGCGCCACCTTGACGAGCTCCTCGTCCCCTTCGATTTCCTTGAAGACACTCCCACGTGTGTCCTTCTCTGTGGGCTTGACCAACTCAATCTCCCCTTCCTCCTCCCAATCCCTTGCAGCACCAGGTCCAGTAGGCCGTATGCCCGGCGCCAACACGTGGTCCCGCTTTCCGCGTTCCCTCCAGCCCCTCGATTGCGTCCGCGCATTCGTTTCCAGCGTTCTCAACCGCCTGTACGCCCGCTCTAACTCCTGCTCCTCCTTCTCCTTCTCCCGCTTAAGAAGTGCGACAGAGTGTAGCAGTGGATCGAGCGTCCTCTCGAGCGCTTGGATCGCGTTGACGGTCTTCTCAAAGTCGAACTCCGCTTCGTGACTTGCGCCTGCTGGTTCGCCGTTGATGTCCCTCGGTTGCTTGGAGACAGAAGGAATAGAAGGTGGCGGAAATGGCATGCCCTTCTCTAGCTTCTTGTGTAGACGAGACGCGAAGGTGGTCAGTATGTCTTGGGCATGGGCGTACCGACTCGAGTCGCTGCGGGTTTCGCGGAGACTGAAGAGGATCGGGCGATGGGCGTCGGCGATAATGCTGTCTACTGCGGCGATGGAGGGGGGATCGAGCGGTGACCATTTGGAGGCGATGGTGGATCGGGGGATCTGTCGGGTGCGAGAAGTGAGGTGGCGGTATTTGGGGACAGGCGGGGGCTTTTCCTTTGGTTCTTTGGGTTGTTGTTGAGCAGGAGGTCCTTCATTCTCGTCCGGCTCTACATTTTTCCGTCGTCGTGGCTTTTCTGTTGGCCCCGGGGTATTCGTATCAGAGTCCTTGGCTGACCGTTTCTCTGCCCGCTGTTGCTTAGCAGCGGCTGCAGGTATAGCCTTCTCTCTTATGGTAGCATTGGGGGGACGATGTGCTGGTCCGCGCTTGTTTTTCCGGGCAGCTTCAGGACGTTCGGAATATTCTACTTCTGGAACAGTCTGACCCCTTCGACGTTGTCGTGTTGGCGCCGCCTCCTCAACGTCTACGTCCTCGGCTTCGGCAACCTTCTTTCCTTTCCTGCTCTTGGTGGTCTGTTTGTTCTGCGGAGGAGACATCCGGTTCTGAGCTTGAAAGGCAGATACTTCGGCTAGTGATGAGCGACCGTTGTCCAGGTGTGCTGATGGATCTCGTCTATTCTCCTTGCTACGTTGAGTTGGTTTGGAGGAATGCTGACTTGGATTGGTTGATCTTGTACTTCGGCGGACGTCCTCCTCCTGTGCTGGTTCCTCCTCGATGGACGCTACTTCTTTTCTGCCTCGCAAGCCCTTCGCTGTCGCCTTTCCGGTGTCCTTGCTCGGCCTCCCTCTTGGTCTTTTGGTTGGTTCCGGATCTGGTTGGACCTCGTCTTCTACTGGCTCCTCCGCAGCAGGAGTCGGCCTCCTCCGTTTCCGTGGTCTCGTTTCCTCTGCAGGCGCATTGGTACTGACATGTTCCGTACGGTCCTTGGGCGGTCGCCCTCTCTTCTTAGGGTTGAGCGGTTCCTCCGCGATAGTTTCCTCTCTAGCTTTAGGGCCTCGTTTGGACTGCTTCTCAACGACAGCAGGCGCGGATTCTTCCTCTTGGGGTTCAGTATGAGGCGTCTTCTTAGGTCGTCCTCGTTTCTTTGGCCCCGGATTGGATACGCCTCCTGCATCTCCCGCTTGCGCTTCCTCTGTTGGCTTCGGCCTCCGTGTTGCTGTCTCTTCTGCGCGCCCCGACGCGTCTTCTCCAGCCTTGGACGCGTTAGGTGGACGACCGCGTTTCCTCTTTTGATTTGGTATTTCGGGCGCCTTTTATCATGGTTAGCTTGGGGCGTTTTAAAGAATGCCAGTCGAAATTACCATATCTGAAGTAAACAGTTATGCGCCGTCGATACAAATGAATAGTACTATGATTGAGTATTGAAGTTGAGGTCGTCAAGGTGCCAGTAAACTAACTGTAACTGCCCCTCGAAGTCAAGCCACAGCAATGACAGCTCGCAACGATGTTACTGTACTGTGGCTGGTGCTTTGATACCCACCGTGCCCACTTCCATCTTTGTCATTAATACCTTATTGATAAGAATCTTGGCACTCTTGGCATTCAGTGCTTGGCTCACATCATCTGGCAGGCACGACAGGATCCTCGGGTTGGGGTTTGTGGGGTTCTGCTCACACTAGGTAGAATCTGAGGAGCCTGGTTGGGTGGCCGGTTAAACTGTGAACAGAAGGGTCTCGAGCTGAAGCTTCCCCCAGTTGGCCCCTGACACCTGCTTCTCTGTTGCTACGGTTCCCCGCTTGTATCGTAATGCTGGGAATGGGGCCGAGAACACTGGATCGACGGCGGCGACTTGCTCGATTTTGTCGATATGGAAAATCCGAGTTTACCTGTTGATTCTTGGAAATTCCTGTTGGTCTTCATCTTGTGCTCGTGTTATTAGGTGGCCATCCAATTACCATTTGCAACGCGCCATATCTTCTATCAGTTCAAGTTTTCAGCAAAGTCCCCATCCCCTTCTCTCCCGTTCTGCCTGCCCGCCGAATTGATCACCAATATCTTGCCTTACTCCACCCGCCCGCATTGAGCTACGGACTGGAGACCGCAGGCTCTCGTCTGATAGGTACGGCCAGGCCCCTCATTGCTCGGCTAGATTCCGTTGAGAACGGGTGTCCTTACATCACTTCATTGGGGCTAACACCAAAAAGACAGCTTGACATCTGATTCTCTTTTCCTGTGAAATTTCCTGTACGACCCGTTCTCTGTCCAACATTCTGAACGGTTCCAGTCGAGCTTCACGGTTTTCCTCCCCAGTCCAGACACAATGCGCTTCTCTACGTCCACCATTGTCCTGGCATTGCCTCTGTTGGCAGCGGCCGAAAGTCCCCTCGATCAGTACAAGGCCAAGTTTCAAAACTTCCTCGGAAGCTTCGCTGGTACTGCTGGTGGCGCTGCCGTTCCCCAGGCCGACGAGGTTCCTCAGCAGAAACCCATTGTTTCCGACACCGAGTCTGCCACCAGCAGCTCAGTAGAGCCCAAGCACATTGAGCGCCTCACGCTCGCGAACTGGAAGGATACCTTGTACGCGCCCGTCCAGCCCGAGGCCACTACCCCCGAGGAGTGGTGGGTTTTGGTTACTGGTGGTAACAAGACGTGCTTTGGTATGATGAACCTTTATTTCTTGCAATAAACTGGTTTGGAGAACTAACGAGTATCCTCATATCACAGGCCGCTGCGGACCCGTCGAAAAGGCCTTTGGCGAGACGGTGGAGAAGTTCTCGACTATCCCCAACTCCCCCCATGTAGCCGTTCTCGATTGTGAAGAGGAGCCTGTCCTCTGCAATGTCTGGTCCGCTGGCGCTTCGTCCCTCTGGGTCTTCGATATTCTCCCCCCGCCCGCCGCCGTCGATGTTTACTGGAAGCGCCTAAACTTCACCACCATCACGGCGGCCGATCTGCTCGAGACATTCGATAAGGAAACCACGGAGGGCAAGGAGGCCGCTGGCTTTCAACTCGTCGAAGGCGCGCTCCACCCCTTCGATGGTACCCTTGCCCGGTATAACCTGGCCGTCCCCATTGCTTACGCCCTCCACTACTTGAGCATCATCCCCTCGTGGGCCATGATGCTCTTTGTATCCTTCTTCAGCAGGACGATGATGTGAGTAAACTGTCAACACTTTGTCATTTGGCGGGTTTCTAACACGCATTCTCTTGTTGTAGGAACCGCAGCGTGGGTGGCGCGCAGAACCGCCGTGCGAACCCTGCTCGTGGTGCCGCTCCCGGTGATGGCCGTTCTTAGTTGAGACTGTTTAAACTCGTCGTTCAAGTGATGTGCTCTACACGTATCGTTGTCGCTCTTTTGATGGATATGAAGGAAATGGCCGTCCATGGCGTGGTTACACAGCCCAAGGGTGTCTTTCCAAAATTTATGCAAGTCTCACAGATTATGGACCTTTGCTGGAATTTACTTTGAAATGTCGACGTGAGGGAGTTGGAGGAGATACCGTCGATTTAGTTATCATAGCGTCCAGTACGCGGATGATGAAGGAATGGCGTTGAATGACGGCTGGGTTGGGAGACGGCTGTTGATTGTTGGGTAACGCGTTCGGATGTTTCAAACGATTGGGGAAAGAAAAGGGAGGGCGCAGGAACAAGCGGGATTTTTGAAGATCGGGGTCACCATGATGGCTCGGATTAAGCGACACCATATCACCAATATGATTAATTTTTGGATTTACAAGTGTCTCGCAAGCTCGCCAGCCCCTCGAGCACTTGATCACGGAGTTGGCCATTAGCAAAGCGGCCGTAGCGTAGGTCGCTCATGCTACCCACTGTCTGTTGAATGGACGACATGAGTGCTGCCTCTTCTTCTCCAAGAAGCTGAAGCTCACTTTCAAGCTCCGACACGGCGCCTTCAAGGTCGGGAAGAATGGAACCAATGTTATGTTTGGGCGTTTGTGAATACGAAGTTGAGCCAAACAGCTACAAGACCAGATAGTTGCCACGAGGGCCATTAGTCAGTTCTGTTACTAGTCACTGTAAACAAGCGATCCTGAGGCGATTCTCAAATCTTACAAGGCGTTCAATTTCGGCTTCGTCATCGTTCTCTGGGGCCTCCTCCTCACGTTTGGCCTTGATCATGACCCGGCGCATGGCCTTGCCACGCTTGGCCTCGGCTTCGATCTCGGCCGCAACTGAATCAACGACGGCATTTCTCTGGGTCTGCAGATCGCGATACAAGTTTCTGATCTGAGGCGAAGACTGAAGGGATCGCGGAAAAAGCTCAGTGAGCTCTTGCAAGGAGATGATTGCAGGCAGCTGGGCGGGGACTAGCAAGTAGTCGCTGAGGATCTTGGTTTCAGTAGGTGCCATTGCGCCGTGCTTCTTTTGTTTGCGATAATGACGAAAATGGATAAAGACAACCTCGAGTTCTAGAACTGAGTCGTCATGCAAACCAGTAATAAAACAATTCGTCACAATTACAACAAAGAGTAGGTACTTGTAACTGAAAAGAAGCCGATGCAGAACAATGGAAGACGCACAGCAAAGGGGACGCGTTGGTGCGCGCTAAATGCACACGACACGTGATCCCGTGACCCAGTGGTCACTATCAATCAGCTCAGTCGTTTCATTGACCCCTTCCTTCCTACCTAGGCGGGCAGCTAGCTTCAGTACACCTTCCCCGGGCCACTCACTGAACCAAGCAACCATTTCGACTTGACGACACCTGCCGCCGCCCTGCCATTTTTCATCTCCTGGGATCTCCAATTTGAGCAACTAAACGAAACGAACTTGAGCCTTGCACAACATTGTTTTGTCGTCATTCCCCATCTACTCCTTTTTCTTTCTCGCTGGTCCCAGCACCTCACCCGCTATCTCAGGATCATCGACTCAGGCGTTATTCATACCACCTTACTCGATCCACCTATCCAACCGTTTCCACTAGACAGTCTGCTGAAAACCCACGTTTGATAGCAGCAGCAATATATCAACTTTTTCGAGCACAACTCGGCCACTCCAATTTCTCAAAATGGCCCCGTCCAAAACGCCCCAGCCACCATATTCCAAGGATGAGCGCGTCCTGTGTTTCCATATGGAGATGCTGTATGAGGCCAAAATCCTGGACGTGCAGCCAACGGAGAGCGGCGATGGCTGGAGCTACAAGATTCACTACAAGGGCTGGAAGAGCAGTTGGGACGACTGGGTGCCGCAGGACCGCATCCGCAAGTTGAACGACGAAAACAAAGATCTCGCCCAGCAGCTCCTCGCCCAGTACAAGCAGCTGCAGTCCGGTAAGGCGGCCAAGCAGCCTAAGAAGGGAGGCCGTCCTGGTGGTTCGGATCTCAGCTCTGCCCGCGGTAGTGAGGAGCGAACTGCGGCAGGCACGACGACACAGAACAACCGTAACCCGCGAAGGGCTCGTGATTTTGACCTTGAAACGGTAAGTGGCGTTCCCTTTTCTTCATCCTTCTGTCTCGTCTCCTATATCCTCTCCTTTGCAACACTTTTTCTTTCTTTCTGCATTCGCCCGAAACCTCCAGCCTTCATGACCGCGAGTGGTCAAAAAATTGGATACAGGGACAAGCAGGCCAACTACAGAGGGCGTCGTTCATGTGGTTGTCGTTGGCGACCTTTTACAAGTGTGGAGTGTCGGTTGCTAGGCGACACAGAAAATCTCGGGCATACGGAGAAGGGGAAAAGTGTCAAGGGACCACTCACAACAAAGAAGGCCACAACTCGGATTTCTGAACAAAATATGAAAATCCTGAAAACAGGACGGAAAAAATGACGGGGGAAAAAAGCACAATCCAGTAGTTCTGGACAGCAAACATGGCTGTGGTTGTGAAAGGGGGGCACCAAACCTGAGTTTTGGAGGGACCCATAATCCGGAGCTGGGACCCTGAGCGGCCCTGCCTGGACAAGAGCAGCGAGAGAGTAAAGCCACCACCCCTGGATCTCGCAACCTCTCAAAATCTACACTCACCAACATCACTCCCCTCCCTCTGCTCGCCAACACACTTTGGGCACTTTTCATCACCAGCACCGTTTCGGATCTCAGCAGCTTGTCACAGTCACTGGATTTGGAACACACGCAACTGTCTGCGCAACCTTGTTCCGCTCTCACAAGGGAGAAGCTGCAAATTTCTCATTCGTCCTTCCTCTTGTCATCATCGTCAGCCGCCGCCTGCTGGTCCTCGTGTCCGTCCACCTTCCATCATCCTCTCACCTTTGTCCGGATCACGCGGCATCCTTGGCCGGTCACGGAATCACCTGGAAATCTACATTTCGCCTTCGCTTGGGCTATTTGAATCTCAGTCAGGGAGAGCAAGCGGCGAGTTTCGGGAAAACATCACCACATCAACACACCATCACATCTCTCTCCATCATCCCTTTGTGGCAGGACGGCTCTAAATCCCCCAAATCCATCATCACCGTTGCATTTCTCGCTTGGCATCAGAGGATCAAGTTATATATTTCGAGATTGCCACAAGTCATCACCATGTCGCGCTCCATGCGTAGCCATGGCCGGGATTGGGACGACGACACCAAGAGTCGCAGCTCCTTGATAAGCTCGTTCGCAGCCTGCGAGGCGCGATGGTCCAAGCTAGCAGAGCCGGCAGATCGTCTGATGCGACTGCCCAACAAACTCACATCAACCTACGTCGACCGCTATGGGCGGACGACGTTCGACGATACCTACGCGCTGGGCTGGACATCAACGCGGCCACCGCCCATCGGCCATAACCACCCCAAAATCATTAGGGCAAGGAATAACGGCAACTGGTCCGAGAAGTTAGAGGCATACTATAGCGAGCTACCACCAAACTATAACATTCCCTTGGCTGGTCAGGCTTGCAAGAAGCCCGATGAAGACTGGAGTTCGCGCAGCTCAACACGAGTCGCGACGCCTTTTAGAGCAGATTTTGGACCTTTCACCTTCCTCCTCGATGCACTCGCCAAGATACGCAAGCCTAGGGAACCGACTGCAGGGAAGAAGATGTGGGAATGCCGTTTCACACCGAAAGACATGGAAAAGGAGAAAGTATGTTTGCTGGTTGTGGTCCTTTCTTTGCTTGTCGGACAACTGCCCGCACACGCCCTACAACGGCGACAGGATTCCATCGTACAGCCTATGTATTCTGCTACAATGGCCTCGCAAGCGCTGGTCATCATGCTACACCGCATGGCTTCCACTCATCATCTCAGCCTTAGTAGGCTGGGGTGGCGTTGGGTGAAGACAGTCTGACTAATTGGTCTGGACGCACCCTTCCAGACCATCAGTTATCTGCACAGACATCGTCGCCTTTGCCGCACCCTAGTGGGTCGACACAGCCACGCCAACACGTCGTTGGTTGTCCCTAGCACAAGAGCGTCGTGTTGTTTAGCAGTGTTGTTTGCCAAGCATTTTGTCGCTGTTTTTGATGAGACTCATATTCATTGAAGGATCATTGCTAATAATTCAAACTTTAGGAGGACAACTTCCACAACCGACCATCCATCAAACTCCCGCTACCAGATCACGTCAAGGCGTTGCTCGTCGACGACTGGGAAAATGTCACCAAGAACCAGCAGCTGGTGCCAATTCCCCATGTCCACCCTGTCGACGAGATCCTGAAGGACTATCTCGAGCATGAGCGTCCCAATCGGGTACCAGAGTCGCCACAGATGGATATTCTCGAGGAGACCGTTGCTGGGTTGCGCGAGTACTTTGACAGGTGCCTAGGCAGGATCCTTCTCTATCGGTGAGTGGTGGCCCGCATCCCTTTCTTGTCCCATCTGGTTTGGAATACTGACAAGAGGCACAGCTTTGAGCGCGCACAATACCACGAGCAGCACTTGATCTGGACTGCCGGCACGGACGAGAAGCACAAGAGCGCCTCTGACACTTATGGCGCCGAGCACCTCGCTCGTTTGCTAGGTAAGATATAGCCGCCAAACCCATACATCCATATCTGCTTCTTTATCCCCGCAACCTTGCTAACTCGTCCCACAGTATCCCTCCCAGAACTCGTCGCCCAAACAAACATGGACCAGCAATCAGTCAACCGCCTCCGCGAGGAGCTGATCAAGTTCACCAACTGGTTCAGCCGCCACACGACCAAGTACTTTGTCAGCGAGTACGAGACACCCAGCCAGGAGTATGTGGACCAAGCTAGAAGCGTTTAGGAATCTTCTTTTGGCCATATTCCGAGGGAGGTGTTGGAGGAGATGAAAGCAAAACGGAAAGCGGAAGCTTTGTCCGAAGCTCAGGGGGCGAAGAGCTCGAAGAAGAAAACCCGTTGAGGTGATTTCATCTTCTTATATTTAGCTGCCTTGTCGGGTTGTGCAATGATGTCGAGGCGGTGACTTCTTACCTCCTTAAGGAAAAGGTTTGTACGGGTGTGGATGTCACTGAGTCGAAGTTCGGTTCAGGTGCGGTTGTGGTTCCGGTTAAGGCTAGAGGATGGCGAGATCAGACAGATACCAGTCAGTGGTTATGGTCTTGCTATGGACGGAGCAGTTGAGTTGCCTGGCTCCCTCTTTTCTTTTTCTTCTCCAGATCATGTTGGTCTGTCGGTTTGATTATGTGGTTGTGGCTTGGTAGCTCCTTTTGGGCGCGGATGGCCGGCGTTTTTGTGTGTTGCTTTTTTTTATTCATTTGAGGCCGAGAGTACTTACGCCTTCTCTTCTTCCCATTGCACTAGGAAACAGCGGAAAAATTCGGATGGATTTTAGAAAAGGAAACTGGTATGATAGATAATAGCATCGTTGTGTTTGTGTGTTGAAGTGTTGAAGCTTGAGTGAAGAGCCAACGACCGTTGTCTGTCCGTGAATGGTGAATATGATCTGCGTATGTGGATATAATCATCAGGGCCGGGTAGAAGTCTAGTTCCTTAAGGTGTCGCACACACCGGTGATGTTCATGACCTGATAGAGGTACCTCTCGCTTCAGTCACATCCGTCCTTGTTGCTCGCTTTTTCCTATTACTACAGGCATGTCTAGCTGCCGTGCAGATCACAGGTAGTTACTTGTTCCAACGTGCTTTTCCCATTCCGATGATTTCCTACTACGTGGTATTCGTAGCATACAGTATTGTACAAAATGGTGGTCGAGAAAGACGGGAGTATTCGAGCAAGCAAAGCAGTGCTTCTAGACGGCGTAAGATCCGAGGTAAGCCGACCGAGTGAGTATACGAGCTCAGTATTTCCCAGACACAAGCCCGTCCCGAAAGAGACACAACAGCTGGCTCGGGACGTAGTGCCAGAACCATGCGCCCAGCCAACCATTTGGCAATATGCTGACTGGGCGCGGTCTTGACAACCTTCCCTGTCCTTCTCGACCTCCTATTCCTCCTCCTCCTCATCCATTCTTCCCCCTTGCCCTGTCAACAATTTGGAACTTAGAGAGCCTTAACCTTGGGCAAAACACTCTTCATCTTGCCAATAACCTCCCAATCACTTCTCGTCCTCACGCCCAAATCCCCAGCCCGCTTGCCATCCCTGACCACCGCCCCTCCCTCCACCACCATCTTCTCCACCCCTTCAACGTTCTCAACTTTCTGCGCCTTCAGCTCTTCCACCACTTTGGAGAAATCCACTTCGTCCTGAACTCCCACCCCGGGGATGAACCGTCTCACTTGCTTCTCCACCACAAACCCGGTGTCCGGCTTGCGCTCATCCTTCAGCTCGCGCTTGGTCAAGCGGTGGGGGACCTCCTCTACCCGAACGAGCTCCTTGACTTTCATCAGCATACCGGCGAATTGGGGTTCGACGGGGTGGAAGACGGTTTGGTTGCGGCGACGGAGACCGAGGGCGGCGAGCACGCCGTGGGTGCGCTTGGGCAGACCGATGGCGGAGCGGTGGAGGGTTATGCGGAAGAAGGACATTGTGGCGGTTGTGTTTGTTTAGAAAAGGGTGGGTATCTCGGGATGTTTTTGTGTGTGTTGGGATGTGTAAAAAGAGGTGGTCTGGTATTTTGGTTTGATGCGCCGATTGGAGGTTGAGGTTTGGATTCGCTCGTGGGAGGGGGGTATCGGCGTCGTCCGTCGTTGAAGGTCGGATGATGTAGGTAGGTTGGGGGATAAAAATGGATTGCTGCCGCGTGCCTGTATTATACCATGAGCCAAAGTCAGTTGACAGCTCTTTGAGGAGTCCGGGTGGGTTGTATGCGCCAGCGCAACCGAATTCGAGATGCCGTCCAGTTTATTGAAAAAAGTTGCGACACTTGCTCCAAAAGGTAAATCGTCTTGCATGTCAGAAAGGATTCGCTCGACTTACGCACCTCGAGAATGACGCTCTGCTTTCCGCCGTCGGTCAGTCGGTTGATAAAACGGATAAGGGAACCTCGAAGGCCGTCGGTCGGTAGCCTCGTCTCGTAGCGTGTGTTTACGGCCCGCCGGGGATCTCCTCTGGATGGATCACAGTTGCCGTGCGCCGGCCGGGGACGGTAGCTACGGCCTACGGGGTTCGTCAGTGGGTACTGCGTACACTGCGCGGCACGATTGGCCGGTCGCGATTTGGCCGGTGGGGCAACGGTTCAGGAACTCTCTGCTAGAGCAAGATAATTCTGCCGTGATTTACCGCTTAAATTTCAAAGTGAGGTTGTTGGTCACGATGGCGAGTACAAGTTCACGTCGATAGATTGATGTGCGTTCTACGTTGGTGGTCACTCTTTTCGTTTTTAATTTCTTGCAGCTTTCAAGATACTCTCAGGTTGTAAAATGCTGCAAACTCGCAAGCGCCAATTGCTCTTCAAGTCTTTTAAAAACTGAACAACCGGACAAAGCGACAAACGCAGTTTTTCAAGAACCAATCTCTCCCATTCTCTTTACTTACTACCATCTGTGTAAGACAGCCAAAGAGGTACGTTTGGAATATCGTCAGTGGTCTCCCACTGGCTTCACTTCTTACAAGTAGTATACGGCCCGGCGACCGGATCCACCCCGATTTAGCCCCGCGAAGTAGAACCCGGTCGGCCTTGCGGAGTTACCCCGCTAGAGCGCCGAAGCTCTGATTCTCCACTTAAGTCGGAGCCTCTACCGGAGCTTCCGCCGGAGTTTAGTGGGTCACTTCCGATCCGCTCACTTATCGATTACCGGATGGGACCCGGATCGGATCCCCACAAAATCCAACCGAGTGAACTTGGTGACAATCATGCTTAACTTTTAAGATCGCCGAAGGATGCAAGGGTTATGTCCGTAATGCCAGGTCTATCTTTTGGGTTCTGCATTAGGTTCCCGAACGTTCACAAGATCTTGCTCCACTTCTTTCCGAGACCATCTCTTTTCTTACAAGGCTGTTGTCGATGCTAGTCATATGATTTCCGGTTTCTGTTCCGCCGCCGCTCGTAAGTCCTATCCGATATGTCGTTGCAGCATGGCGATTCGGGATGGAATGACGGTACAGTCCATTGTATGCTCTTATCTAGAGATGTACCTACCTGTCACCACCTCTAAGGCTCGGATGACTTTGGCAGCTCACATCACAAGGCATCGCTGGTACCTGACATAAACACTGGCATTTACATCTTGACAGTTTGCAGGTGGAGCGCATGAGCATGATCCTCCCGTCCATCGTTCCGATCCCGAGGCGCAATTAAGGGTACCATAGCCCGATATCATATGTACCAAGTCAAGCACGATTCCTGCAGCCTGCCCAGGTAACTTTGACATATCACCGTCACTTCTGCATGTATGCGTTTATGATACTAACCAAACATTCTCTCATCATCACTGCCAGGTGTTTCATCGTCTTACTGGTGGTTGACATCTTAGGCCCGCGAGTGAGAGCATTGATGGGAGATTGACTTCATGGTCAAAGAATGGTTCAATCTTTGTGAAGTGCTGTAACCATGAAAGATAATATGAAGGTTAAATTCTCTTAGCATGAAAAGGCATTTCTTACATCACTTCCGCATGACGCAACGACATCTTGTCCTACTCTACTCGCCATATCAACTTCGGTTAGCCCAGCGAAGGCCGATCATATTAAATATTTCGAACTTGACTTTCGAAATTGCACTTTTCTGTAAGCATAAGCAGGCTTAAAGGTGGAAAGAAGCTGTAAATAAGCCTATACATACCTAGTTGACCGACACTTTGGATCATGCTTATGCCTGCGTAAGAGTGATTACCCGAAAGTCACCTTCGACAGATTATACGTACGGTATCAACCTGGACCAACCGGGATCCTTGCCAGACCATACCCGCTTACACCACCATTCATAACCACTTGCGCATTTCATTACACACCAAGATCCATCTCACCTTACCCTATCCGTCAGGGTGACGACGTACAGGTTACAGGCCAGCAAGGCGGGCTACAAACAATACCTACACTCCACATCCATCCCCTTCCCTTACATACTGATCTTGCCTTATCTCAGTCGATTACCGAGACGCCATGCCGCGCTGCTGACTCCCCCAAGACCACAAAACCCCAGCAGCCAGGTCCAGATGTCCGAAGCTGGGGACCTTGGGTCCAACCTCCTTGCATACATACCACGTAGTGCATTGTGTACTATGGTGAGATGGTGCAGTAGCACGCTTCAGGCCGCTGATGACCCGGTAGATCTACTTAGAGGGGAAGAGGACGGGGGGTCAAGTGAGATGACTTGCATTGGTAGCCGTACGCTAGTACCAGTACTTACGGACATAGATGACCCCCCTTGTTGATTTCTTCCCTTGTCTGTCTTGTACCTGTACCTACCTGACCATGTCGGAGATCCTACGACGGCTGTCTACTTACGATTGGGAGGGAATACAGCCCCACGGGCCGTTTCCCCACGACCCATGTTCTATTCTCGGCGGCCATAAGCCCCCCCATAAGCCTTGCATATACAAGTCCTGTGCACCTTGAAAGTCCGGAAAAGGAAACCCTCCGGTGTGTCGCTGATGCATAGAACATTGTAAGTAGAATGTCTCGAAATCTCAGCCGGGGTTTGTCCTACCCAGTCAGCTTTCGTGGTACGCGCTAGAGGCATAGCATCCAGATCACCTTGACGACACGCAGCGCTGCAAACTGCACCTGTGGCTCGTATGCAAGTATGCATCTCGGGTCGACTTGGCGGCTGGCGGTCTTTCGGTGACGACAGGGGCGCCCGACTTCCGTGATTCCATTGTGTAGTCTCCACGATAAGTGAAGCAGTCACTGGATGTTGGTGACCCCGGCTCACAGTAACAAAAAAAACATTACACTCATTTGGTAGTTGATGCTGTCTTGATTGCATTATGGGGAAATCCCCCCGTAAATGGTAATGACGTATTCTGTCATACACTCTTCCCTTGCTTAATGACCCTCTACCACCTGCCGAAGAAACAAAATGAAAACATTCATGACCGTAACCGCTCCGTAAAGTAAAAGATCCCATGTCTAACCATCCCAAATCCCGATATAATTTCCTTTTAAATTTGGACCTCAACACGACCCTCAGTACCCGGAGGGCCGGGCTGCTGGAGGCTGGGGAGGAGGTAAGTGATATCATCCCAAGGATGACGGTAAAGACCAGTGCGGAGTCTCTTCTGGTCGAGGTAATGGGCAATGAGACCAATGGAACGACCAAGCACGAACAGACCGTTGAGAACGCCCATGGAGAGGTAGTCTTCAGCCTCCTCCGTGCTGAAGGCACCGCAGTTCCTTAGGAGATCAACGAAGCAGACAGCAATGCAGCCGTCGACGTTGAGAATAAGGTTGTCCTTCTTGGAGGTAGTGACACTCTCGACGGCGAGGGCGTAGTCGAGAAGCTTGGTAGAGGGGAACTTGGCCTTGACGTATTCCTTGACAAGCTCGACACGAAGATCGGGGTTGTTGCGAGACTTGACACGGTGACCGATACCGGGGATAAGCTTGTTCTGCTTGCGCATGGTGTCGACAAACTCACGGGGGCTCAGGCCCTTGTCGAAAGCCTTGGTGAACTCCTCAGCAGCACCATCAAGGGCACCACCGAAACGAGAGCCAATGGTCAAGAGACCAGCGACCAAGGAGCTGATGAGATCCTTGCCGGCACGAGTGGTGATAATGGTGTTCATGGCGCCAGACACGGCAGGACCGTGATCGGCAGTAAGCATAAGAACCATCTCAAGGAACTTGGCGGCATAATCGGGGAGGCGGCGGCGGAACCAAAGAAGGGACATGACACCGCCGATACCAATCTCCTCCTTGAAAACGTCCGAGATGGGCATGCCAGCGTAGAGGAGCTCCTGACCACGGTCGTCGGAAATGGTAGAAATGAAGGCAGCAGGCTTACGAATAAGGCCAAGCTCCTGAGCCCACGAGTAGTCGATGGGGATCTTGGGGACAACGGGCTCGGGGGCGGGGACAATGGTGCCATCAGCTACAAGCTTGTCATAGACCTGCTTGAGGAGAGCAGGCATGTCCTCGAAAGTGTCGGGAACATAGAAACCAGCCTCACGCATGCTCTTGTTCTTGGTGGCCGCAGTCTCGAGCTGAGAGTTGGCGAAGGCACCAGCGTGACCGAACTGAACCTCAGTCTTGAACATGCTGGCGCAAGTTCCAATGGCCCAAGCAACGATGGGCTTGGTAATGATGCCCTGCTTGACAGCGTCAATCACCTTGTATTCCTCAACACCACCGACTTCACCAAGCAAGACGAGAATCTTGCAATCAGGGTCGGCCTGGTAGCGCAGGAGATGATCGATGAAGGTGGTTCCGGGGTAACGGTCACCACCAATGGCAACACCCTCGTAGACACCATCCGTGGTCTGGGAGATGATGTTGTTGAGCTCGTTGGACATGCCACCGGACTTGGAGACATAGCCGACAGAGCCCTTGCGGTAGAGCTTGGAAGCAACAATGTTGTCCATCATACCACCAGTGTTACCGATCTTGAAGCAGCCGGGCTTGATACCACCAACGGTGGCAGGGCCAATGATGGTGATGCCCTTCTTCTTGGCAACGTGGGCAATCTCGCGAGCGCGCTGATTAAGAGCGTGTTAGCTGCCTGAAACAACCAAGGCAATGGTGGGTGGAAGGCAAGTGGAAACTTACGCGCTCGGGAACACCCTCAGCAATGATAGCAATGGTCTTGATCTGAGGGTACTCCATCAACTCCATGGTGGAGCTGTAGACACTGCGGGAGGAGGCAAAGTTGACAACGACATCAACATCGGGGTGCTTGGCAATAGCCTTGGGAACCTCCTGGTAGACGGGCAGGAGGGTCTCGCTAGTGCCCCAGTACATCTTGCTGACGAACTGACCACCAAAGGTGTAAATGATGCCAGCGACCGAGGGGGTGGAGCGCTTGCAGATGAAGTCGAAATCGAGCATGCCCTGGACAGCACGGGGCTGCAGACCGTAGACGAAGCATC